GTGTTTGCCTCAGTTTCCTCAACTGTCAAATGGGGGATCATCGTGAGGATCAAATGAGATAATATTTGTAAATAGTGCCTGGCACATAGCAGGTGCTATATAAACACTTATTCCCTTCATCTCGTTCCTCTCCTTTATGATAAACTTTTTTTTTTTTTGGCGAGGCAAATGGGGTTAAGTGACTTGCCCAGGGTCACACAGCTAGTAAGTCAAGTATCTGAAGCCAGATTTGAACTCAGGTCCTCCTGACTCCAAGGCTGGAGCTCTATCCACTATGCTACCTAGCTGTCCCTAGGATAAACATTTTGAAAGAGTTATTGACACAGCCTCTGTCCCTACTCTGTCACTGACCTTCACTCTGGCCTTCATTCCCACTGCTCTTCCTGAAATTGTTCTTGCAGAGGTCCCAGTCAACCTTTTATTCATCAAATGTCCTAATTCTGGTCCTCATCTTCCTTGATCTTTCTACAACATTTGACACTGTGAAAAGCACCCCCTCTTTTTGAAAAAGCTCTTCTCCCTTGGTTTTTGAGACATCATGCTCTGCTGGCCTTCCTTCTCCAAAGACTGTATCTCTGTCATCTCCAATGATTCCTTGCAGTCTCTTTGAGCCCCTAAGGTGGATGTTATCCAAAGTTCAGTCTTTCTTCCTCTTCTCCCTTTCCAATCCTTTCTGTGTAACCTTGGTCAAGTCAGTTCCCCTCTCAGTTCCTCACCTGTAAAGTTAGGAGGTTGGAATAGATGTTCCCTAAGGTTCCTTCCAGCTCTGTGCCAGCTTCTGTGACTCTCTGAACCTTTCCTTTTCTTTCTGCACTCTGCTTTGACAGTTTCATTCACTTCTACAGCTTGAACCATTACCTCTCTGCAAATTATTCTCAAATCTGTTTTCCTGAACTCTGAAACCACTTTGCAACACCTCTCTATCTTGTCACCTCAAATTCAACATATTCCAGACAAAGCTTTCCCCCTGTCGCCCTCCCTATCTCTCATATTATGTCACTTACCAAAGAATTCCATTAGATTTCTCTTACTGGTCCTTTCTTCTCTATTCCCCCTGCTACTGCTCCAGAAGAGGCCCTTATTACTACCCAATAGTGCAATTCAGTATGTGTTTATTGAGACCTTGCTTTATGAAAGATGGTATAGTAGGTGTTGGAGACAAAAAGACTGAGATGGAGAAGACAGTCCTGTTCTCAAGGGGCTTATTTTCTACTAGACCATTCCCACCTGGACTATTATAATAGCCGCTTACTTGATCTTATCAATTCTCTTTTCACCTCTGAACCATCGCTTCCTGCCTTTGTCAGACTTATACTCTTTTCCCCCTGCTTTTTTCCTTTTTTTTTTGTTCAAAACTTAACAAATACCAAATAAGATGAGCATTTCCATATATATTGTAGAACAGGAGAGGATTGTGTATTAATAATAATAATGAAATTATTATTATTATTTGGTGAGGCAATAGGGGTTAAGTGCCTTGCTCAGGGTCACACAGCTAGTAAAGTTAAAAGGATAGTATGTGAAACAATGAACTTTTATTATGTACAGTTTGCTTTCTCTGTTTAAATATATAATAAAGTTAACATGTAACTTTGTGATTGCTTCTGGCCTTCCTTTTGTTCATTTTTCATTTTGTTTGGGGTTTTGTTCTTGTTGTTACTTTTTAACTCCTGTCTCTTTCCCTTTGTAGCCCACCCCATCAATGAAAAAATAGGAAAAACAAAATCCTCATTAACAAATACACATTGATGCACATTGTCAAACAAAATAAATCCCCCCCCCCCCGTTGGCCGTGTCCAAAAATGTCTATCTTATTGTACATCTTGAGTCTTTCACCTTCCTTTTAGGATGAGGGTAGTATGTGTCATCATAAATACCCTGAAGCTGTGGCTGGTCATTTCATTGGTCAGAGTTCTTACATTGCACTCCTTATTCACATAACTAATCTTATTATCCTTAATGCTCAAAACCCTGCCTATTGTCTGCTGAGTTAAACTCCTTGTCTGGAATTCAAATCCTTCTGTAGTCACTGAAATCTTCCTCATTCAACTTCTCCAGCCTTTTCTCAGACCATTCCCCTTAACACAGTTCCCTTCTAGTCATACTGTATTTACAGTTATACAGTATTTTCCCACCTCTGCCTTTGTTCACACTATTCACTATGCCTTGAATGATCATCCCTCACCTGTAGAATTTCTACCTATTCTTTAAAGACCAATTTAAAATGGCATCTTCTTCATGACCCTTTGTGGTTCCCCTAACCAGTGTAACCTTTCCCTCAAGTTCTCAGGTAGCATTTTGTATATTTCTTATGTATTAACACAGGTACTTGGTATTGTAGTAATTTATGTATAGGGCATATATCCCTGTTGGACTGTATGGGCAGGGAGCCGTCTTATCTAAACTTGGTATCTCCTCTAGTGCCTATGGTAGTATCTGATATACACAGTAGGGCTAAAAATGCTTGTTGAATTGAATTAACTCTCTTGAGCACTTATTTGTATTATAGGAGATGTAAATATGCCATCCTTCTCGGGTGATTAGTCTAACTCTCATGGGCCTGAGTGCTCTGGAAACTATTCCTAAAGATTCAAGGTGTACTGTGGGCCTGCACTTGTTTTGGGCCAGGACTAGCTCAGACTAATCTGGTGGTTCAGGTTTGGGATTGGAACAAAATGAGGCAATTATTGACCAGTTAGCATTTTACAAAAGGTTTACTTAACAATAGCATGGAAAGGGTATTTAGCAAAGATACAGCATTAATTCAGTTGAATGAAGCTGTCATTACTCTGTATAGGGAAGTGAACCAGGTCAGGAAGGTGTGCTGATTCACATGAAACCAGTCTCTCAAGTCTGAGGAACTCTGATTCCTTGAGTTGTTTTTCTCTTTTGTTCTTTCTTTCTTTCTCTTTTCCTTCCTTTCTTCCTTCCTTTTTCTTTCTTCCTTCCTTTCTTTCTTTCTTTCTTTCTTTCTTTCTTTCTTTCTTTCTTTCTTTCTTTCTTTCTTTCTTTCTTTCTTTCTTTCTTCCTTCCTTCCTTCCTTCCTTCCTTCCTTCCTTCCTTCCTTCCTTCCTTTCTTTCTTTCTTTCTTTCTTTCTTTCTTTCTTTCTTTCTTTCTTTCTCTTAGGCAACTGGCAAACTTTGTCAGTGATTCAAGCCTTAATTTATTGGACCGCATAAGTATTGATACCAGTTTAATTGTTTTTTTTGGAGAAAATCCAGCCTCGCCTGTCTGGCTTTGTATAGTAGATCTAGCTAAGCCTAGATGTTGCTCCAAAAATTTTTAGTTCATGAGCCCCCACTGGTGTGTTTACCTTTAGTAGACTGAACTTGTTTCATTTTTTTAAAGGAGATAATAATGATTTTTACTTGTCATCTTTCCCTCTATTCCCTCATTTCAGAAAAGTTCCTGAGAAGTACATTTAGTCCAACCCATACCCGATAAGGAATTCCCTTGGCAAGTGATTTACAGTTTCCAGCCTTATTATATAGTATTCCTTTTCTTGCACTATGGTCCAAACAGGTCTTTTTGCTGTTCCTCGCATACAACACTTCATTTCCTATTTCTCTTCCTTTAAACTGAATTGCCTTGCCCTTCCCCAACCCCCCATTCTTGTAATGGTTTCCTTTCTTACCTGTGTCTCTTTCCTTTAAGATTTAGCTCAAACAAGGGGGCAGTTAGGTGGTGCAATGGATACAGCACCGGCCCTGGAGTCAGGAGGACCTGAGTTCAAATTCGGCCTCAGACCAAACACTTGACACTTACTAGCTGTGTGACCCTGGGCAAGTCACTTAACTCCAATTGCCCTCAGCAAAAAAAAAAAAAATTAAAAAATTTTAAAAAAAGATTTAGCTCAAGCACCATCTTCTACATGAAGCCTTTCCTGATCTACCCAGCTCCTAGTTCCTTCCATCCAAAAATTACTTGGTATTTATTTTATATATGAGTGTTTATGGCTACGTTGTTTCTCTATATAGAATGTAGGCTTCTTGGGGGCAAGTATTGTTTTGTTTTTGTGTTTGTATCCCCAGTGCCTAGCATGGTGTCTGGCTGATGGTACAGGCCTGAAGTAATTAGCCAGAGGACACAGTGTCCTCAAGGCAAAGTAACTGAAATGTCAGAGTAAGGAGAGTAGCAACAAAACATCTCTTACATAAACTTGGGGAGGAATCTATGAAAACACAGAATTAGTGGGAAGAGTGGACATACATCCTCCCACAGAATACACTAGTAGAGAGGTAGCATAGGAGACACCCGTGACCTGGGAAACTAACAGCCTAGCACTACTATCTTTGCTTTTCCCATGGTGTCTTCACAGTGCTGCTCCTGGGCACTGTGCATACGTGGGGCAGCTTTGATTGAAAGTGTACATCTCCCTTTCCCTGTCTGTGTCCCCTCCCTTCCACCCCCATAGCAAACAGAGCTCATACATAAGCCTTTAACTTGGACCCTGCTCTTCTCCTTTTCACATCATAGTTTTTGGGCTAATGTTTATTCTAAGAGACCTATCTCTCTCCCTGCTGTTATTCTCCAACTCCCTCCCCCTCCCCCATAACAGACTACTAAATTCTGTTTGGCCCAGTGGTCATCAGAGGTGATGTCACAACCACATGACTTGCTTATTCTTCTGATTTCCCTCCATCTAACTTCTGCCTGGTCTCCCAACCCCATTGCTCCAAATAAGTATTGGAGACGCTCGGATTTCTTCTCATTTTCCAACTCTGGTGAATGTTGAACTGACAGCTGACTAGGAGAGTAGGGTTATCTTTCCCCTAAATCTGATTGGCATTTAGAGTGGAGGATGACTGCCACTCCTCCTTAAGTCCTTCTTTTTTTTTTTTTCAGTCTGGCTGTTTCCAGAAGCTCTTTGGAACTGTCTTTTCCTCTCTCTTTTGAGTTTCCCATTGCTAACTCCCCCTGCTTGAAGCAGGGGGAGGCTTAACTAGCTCAGATCCATTGAGGCTTCCAGTCCTGGTGAGGTGTCATCTCTTACTTGCAGATCTCAGTAGATTTTCAGATGGCTGAATCAAACCACCTTTCCCCTGGTTGGAACCTGCCAGCTGGTGAAGCCCTGCTTCAGGATGTCTTTGGCATTGTTATGGAAGAGATTGTACGAAAAGGAACCGATGCCTCTGAGAAGGTGGGTTCTCTTCTTCCTTTCTTTCATAAAGTATATTGCTTGCAAATATATTTTGTATGACTTCACATGTATAATGTTGTGCTTTCCTTCTCAAGGAAGGGGAAGGGAAGAGAGAGAGGAAATTTGGAACTCAAAAATTATAAAAAACAAATGTTAATTGTTTATATATGTAATTGAGAAAAAATAAAACAAAAACATTTTTAAAGGGGTAAAAAAATAAAGTATAGTGCTCCCCTTTCCACTCTATCAAATCATGCTTCTTCTTGATTCCCAAGGACCTTAACTCTCTCTAATTCAGATAACTTTCTTGCTCTACAACCCCGCACCAGTTAAATTTTTACCATGTTCATCTACAGTATTGCTTTTGTAAATGTGTATGTGACTTTATCCTTTATATGTGAATGTATCCTGTCCCCTAGGATTGTGTAGTTATTTAGTTTCTGAGCTTTATACAAAGCTAGCACTCAATCTGTGTTTTTGACTAACTATCTTCACACCACCACCAACTTTCCTTACCAAGGTCTGTGAGTGGAAGGAGCCAGAGGAGCTGAAGAAGCTGCTCGATTTGGAGCTACGGAGCCATGGAGAGAAACAGGAGCAGATCCTTGACCGGTGCCGTACCATCATCCAGTACAGCGTGAAGACCTGTGGGTCTGGAACTTAGGGCATGGAGGGATGGGGTGAGAGCTAGGCTTGTGAACCCAACTCAGTCCTGGCCTACCTGCTCTCTTCTACTCCAGGTCATCCTCGGTTCTTCAATCAGCTCTTCTCAGGGCTGGAACCTCATGCTCTGGCTGGTCGGATCATCACGGAGACCCTCAACACTAGTCAGTAAGTGTCCCTTTACCCAAACTTAGAAAAGGAGTGAGAGTAGAACCTGTGTGGATGGGAAGATAGCCTCTTGTCCCTCTTCCACACTTCCATAGCATCCCTGATGGAAGCCTCTCTTTCCTCCTCCAGTTCTCCCTTCCCTCTCTCCTATTTCCTATTACCACAGACCCCCTTTCCTTCCTTTGCCCTCTTTGGTTCTCTCTCTGCTTTCTGTTCCTCTAAGGGGGTACTGGATTTGGATGAGGAAGCTCTGAGTTCCCATTCTGCTTCATTCTCTTGGTTACTGGGTGGCCCTGGGCACATCACCTGAGTACTTTTCTGTGCTTTGGTTCCCTCATCTATAGAATGAGGGGGTTGGACTTGATGTTTAAGGCCTCATCCAGCTTGAGCTCTAGGACCCTGGGTTTTGACTCCTGGAGCCCCCATCCCTGCCCCTCTGGATGTCATATTTCCTGTCTCTCCTTGTCATGACTTCTTTCTGTCATGATCTCCTTCCTTTTTTAAAGAGATGAGTGAGGGCAGCACCCCTGCCCTTTCTTCACTCACCACCTCTCCTCCCTCCAGGTACACTTATGAAATTGCTCCCGTGTTTGTCCTCATGGAGGAAGAGGTGCTGAAGAAACTCCGGGCCCTGGTGGGCTGGAGCAGCGGGGATGGGGTCTTCTGCCCGGGTATGGCCCCAGGATGGGTTTGGGAATGTTTCTTTCTTCTCTCTGATGACCCAGCATATACCCAGACACCAGATGAGCTAACAGAAAGCTAGACACCTGTCCTTGTATCCCTCCTGGTGGGTCCAAGGTCAGGTAAAGGGAGGATGCAGTGGTTCTTTTTAACCTTTATCTTTCAAAACTACCCCAGGATCAGGGCTGTCTCCAAGATATCTGCCATCCCAGGGCTTTCTTCTGTGGGGGAAGGGCACCAGGGGACTTGGTGTGTTTTCCCTCTCATCACCATCCATCCCTCATGCTCCCCATGACAGGTGGCTCCATCTCCAACATGTGTGCGCTGAACTTAGCACGTTACCAGCGGTATCCTGACTGCAAACAAAGGGGACTTCGGGCCCTGCCCCCCTTGGCCATCTTCACAACACAGGAGGTGTGAGGCTCGGTTTTGAGGTTCCCATCCCTGCTTTCCTGTCAGCTTAGCCAGAGATCCTCAAGTCTTCTCTGCCCAACTTTAGTTCTTGAGAGCAAACGTGCTAGCCAAATCTCCGGTGGTGGGGCGAGATCTCTTGGCTGCTCTGCCTTTAGCCTGAGCCTGGCTGCTCCTGTTGTCTTCTCCCTTCCCCAACTCTGCACCTCATTTGGTCTCTTTTTGTCTCTCTCCTACCTCAGAGTCACTACTCTCTTCAGAAAGGAGCTGCTTTCTTGGGCATGGGCACAGACAGCATCCGACTGGTCAAGGCTGATGAAAGGTGAAAGTTGCTTCTGTTCATATGGCCCCAGACCCAGAATTGACATGTCTGTTCTTTACTGCCATCAGGCCTAGTCCACCTGACTCAAGCAGGACCTTCCTCTCTTCCCCCCACGTGGCTGCTTCTGCCCTCTCTTCCCAAAGAGTACTGGGCTCCAGAGTCAGAGAGCTGGGTTCAGATCCCCTCTGACACAGCTGCCTGTGTGACCTTGGATAAGCCGTTTCGCCTCCGGGGCCTTCGTTTCCTCGTCTCTGAAATGAGGAAGGCCTCTGAGAACCTTCTAGCTCCAGCTCCATGGCCCTGTTGCCCTACCGTCAGCCCTGTAGGAAAGGCCGGGATTAGAGCTCCTGAGTACCGCCATCCTTATACTCCTCACCTTGGCCGCACCCTGGTTAGGCCACATTTTGAGTCTGTGTTCACATTTTAGAAAGGGCATTGCTTCAAGTCTCTTCAGTCTACCTAACCCCAAAGGAGAGAACGATAATAGTGGCTAGAAGGTGCAAAGAAACAGTTTGTGGCTTGTTGGAATGAAATCTTGCTGATAATTAAGCAGTCTGGAAGAGGAGGGGGCCCCCCCTCCTCCCCCAGTGATTTGCTAGGGTGGTTAGGGGAGGGGAGCTGCTCAGGTATGAGCTGGACCCTGTGGCCTCTGAATTTCCTCCTGATGCTGGAATTCAGAGCCTCTGTCTCCTTGGCCTCCCTTTCTAGGGGAAAGATGATCCCAGAGGACTTGGAGAAACAAATTAATCAAGCTGAGGCAGAGGTAAATACTCGGGGCTGGGGTGGGGGAGGGGGAAGCAGCTTATGGAGGGGCCTTCATTTTGTTGTCTCTTCGCCTATGTTGGCTCACTCTGATGCTTTTCATCTGCCTGCCCACCTGTGTGCAGAGCTTAGCCTGGTCCTGGATCGTGGACAGGGGGACGAAAGAGGAGATTAGCATCTTTTCTCCCCTCAGGGATCTTCCATGCTGGGAGGAGAGACTGGAGGGTGCATAGAGTACTTGCTAGAGAGACAAGAATTAAGTAGCTTCTGGAGAGAGACTTGAGAGTCCAGCTTGTTCTGTGGCTTTGAGCAACCCACCTGATCTTTCTGGGCTTTAATGCCCTTATTCATAAATTAAGAGGAATAAACTACATGGTCCTCAGGTTCTTTCTAGGTCTGTGACTGTGATTGTTAGAGCTGTGGTGACATACAGAGCAAATGATGGGAATGGAAAGGAGAGCTGGGCTGGGAAGACTTTCAGAGGTGTTTTAGGGGGAGTCAGATAATCTGCATTGATGGGAGGGAAAATCTCTAGATCTTTCAAAACTGTCCTTCCCTCTCCACAGGGTGCTGTGCCACTCTTTGTCAGTGCCACCTCGGGCACCACAGTGCTGGGGGCCTTTGACCCACTGGAGGCCATCGCTAATGTGTGCCAGCAGCATGGACTGTGGCTGCATGTGGATGTGAGTGCCTAGCCTTCTCCTGGGGCAGTGCTGGGTGTGCTGGGGGGAGGGCGTGGGCTTCAGAGGAGCAGCCTTGTACCCCTTCTTTTACTCCCTCTTCCAACAGGCAGCCTGGGGTGGAAGCGTCCTGCTGTCTCAGACACACCGGCACCTCCTGGACGGCATTGAGAGGTGTGTGTGTGTGTGTGTGTGTGTGTGTGTGTGTGTGTGTGTGTGTGTCCGTCCATAGGCACAGGGTGACTCTCCAGTGCTGGCATGATGCCTGAAGGGGCCCCTGTCCAGTGGAAGCTGGTGTGCTGATGGATGAGAGAGCCCACCTCTTCTTCTCTTGGGTGCCCTGTGCCCCCTTTACCGTTTCCCAGTGTGTGTATGTACACATGTATGTGTGTGTACATGTTTGTCTCAAACTTTCTGTTTCTTCTCTTGGTCCTTTGGTGTTCTACTGTAGAGGCGGAGGTGGGTCCACCATCGATTAAACGCCTTGGGAGAAGTTGGAGGAAAAGGGAAAATATTTAGAATTACTACATATAGACTGTAGAAGAAGAAGCTAGGGGATTAGGAGAAAAATTTGAATTATACTCTTCACATTCTGAGTCTAGAACAAGAAATGAGAACTAAGGAAATTGTGAAAGAAGGGAGTCAGGTACTGGAGAAAGGAATGGTTGGGGGGGGTCTTGAGGTAGGAGATCTATAGATGTAAGGGAGTGCTTCCTAACTGGTAGGGTAGGGGTAAGGGTAGAGAACAAGGGAGGCCCTAGAAATCGTGAAGAGGAGGAGATAATTGGACTGGCTTGGGCAAGGGGCAGTTTGACTGGGCTGCTGTGGGAGAGACAGGGTGACCCTAATTTTGCTTTCTCCACAGGGCTGACTCAGTGTGCTGGAATCCCCACAAGCTGCTGGCGACGGGATTGCAGTGCTCAGCTCTCCTCCTTCGGGACACCTCGGTGGGTCTCCCCGAACCCCTCTGTTGTACTCTTTACCCCCACATCATCAGGGCATTCCCCAGCCTCTTTTGTCTTCCTTGCCTGGATACCTCTGACTACCCCTCACTCTCAACACTCCCCATTCTCCTGGTTTTATGTAAAAGAGAGAAGCTCAAGTCTGGAATTATAACAGGGGAGCTCCTGGTTAGAGCGGGGGAAGAGCTCCCAGGATCATAGATTCAAAGCTGGAAAGGATCTTGGAGTTACCTGAAAGATGAAGAAACTGAAGCCAAGAAGTTAAGTGACTTGTCCAGGGTCACGCAAATAACAAGGGCCATGATTCAGGCACAGGTCCTCTGACTCCAGGTCCAGTGCCTGCTCCACCAAATTGAATTGTGTCCTCTGCATTTGAGCCGTTCGTGGATCACCTCTGTAGGTCAAGGTTTAGCCTCTGAGATGGTCAGATTAGATAGGTGGTCTTGAAGGTGTGTTCCAGCTCTGAAGTTCTGTGATTCTGGTGATGAGGAGGGGAATGGCTGGGATGACCTTGATTCTCTCCCAAACCAGGCAGGAGGAACTGGAGGTGACGAGAGTTGAGGGACATTCTCAGGGTTTCTTCCCTTGTAGAACTTGATGAAGCAATGCCATGGAGCCCAGGCCACCTACCTGTTTCAGCAAGACAAGTTCTACGATGTGTCTCTGGACACAGGAGACAAGGTAATACAGTGTGGCCGTCGTGTCGACTGTCTGAAGCTGTGGCTCATGTGGAAGGCTGTCGGTGGATCTGCTCTGGAGCAACGTGTGGACTGGGCTTTCACCCTCACACGGTATGGGAGCCCCCGAGGTTTGCCTGCTTAGAACATCTGTCTGTCTTTCTGAGTCTCCCTGTTTTCAGAGTAGTCTCTGTGTCTCTGCCTCTGAACCTGACCATGTGCTCCTGTCCTTGTGTTTCTTTTCTCTTTCTTCTGTTTCCCTCTCTCTTTTTTCCATTCCACTTTATCTTTGTTTTTGGCTCTCTTTCTTTGACCCTTTGCTGTCTTTGTTTCCTTTTTTACCTGTCTCTCTGTGGCCCCATCCTTCCCTCTTTGTCTATTAACATGTTATTTAATTTCAGGCTAAAGTCTGCACCTATGATTTTGTTGGTGTCAGAAACTCCCTTTACCAGTCCAGGTTGGCACCTCTGCAACTTACAGCCCTAGAGAGTTTTCTAGAAGAGTGAAAGTTTAAGTGACTTGCCTTGGTTTATAAGTATCTGTCAGATGGGAGACTTGAACCCAGGTCTCTGTTCACTATGCCAAGCTGCCTCTAATCATATAAATTCAGTTACTTAAAGTGTTATCGATGCTTTTTTTTGTTTTTCATGCCACAGATATTTCCCAATAACCCAACCCGCCCCCCAACTCTCCCTTATAACAGAGAAATCAACAGACATTACACATTGAGTATTCTGCAACCATTAACCAAGAGAAGGGAATTGTTTTTCGTCATTAATGCACTGGAATCAGAATTGACCATTATGTTGTAGTTCATCTTTGGTGTCTTTCAGTGTTGTTTTCATTTATGTTGTTAAAGTCATTACGTATAATGATTGTTCTCCTGGTACTGCTTTCTTCTCTCAGAATTCTCTGAGTGCCGCATAGTCACCACTTCTGATGACGCAGTCACTATCTGTTTATTACATTCACGTGCCGCCCTTCATTTGGCCCCTTCACCTTCCTTTGCCTCACTCCCCTGTGGCACCTGCTTTTTTGTAGGTACTTTGTAGAGAAGATGAAGATGCGGAAGGGCTTTGAGCTGGTCATGGAGGTATAATCCCCCTCTTTGTGTACTAATTCCTTCCCCTGAGGGAGATGAGGATTGGCTACCCCCATGGTCTACTCATTTCCGTGATCTGTACTTTGCATTTGTTCCCTCCCAGCCAGAGTATGTAAATGTATGTTTCTGGTACGTGCCCCCCAGCCTTCGTGGCCAGAAAGACAGTGCTGATTATTGCAAGAAGCTTGCTAAGGTAAGTAAGCGCTGAAGGTTGTCATCCTTCCTTCCTTCTCTCTTTCTTTTCTAGGCCTAGAGCTGGGGGCAGAAATTTAGGTGGTGCGCTTCTGTCACCTGGTGGCCGGAAATATGTAATGCGTTGTCTCTGCCTCATGTGTGGTCTTTGGAGGGGGTTGGGGCTTTAAGAGAAAGTCCAGTACCCCCTATTCATTGTTTCCTTGGACTTTTATTTGGGGAAAGCAGAAAAGAGGGTAAAACAAAGCTTGTTTTTGGAATGCAAGAAGATAAAATAATGAATAGAAGTTTATCAACTTGTTCTGAGCCAGGCCCAGCATGTAGACGTGTGCTACAAGGGGACACACACCTCTTACTGGAAACTTAGGGGAGAAAGGAGACCCAGTCCTTTTAACGGGAAAGCTTCTAGTCTTATGTGGGCTGGGTGGGGTGGGGCAGCAGGGAGATTATCCACCCCAAGAACAAGGAGACAGAGGTGAGGATCAGTCTTGGACTGACCAGAGTGTGCCTAGAAGGAAGGACACCTAGGTTTGGATCCTGCCTCTGCTCCCTACTGGCCACGAGACTCTGGCCAGATCCCAGCTTCATAGGATTTAGAAAGGGCCAGAGAGATCCTCTAATCTAACCTACTCAGTTTATAGGTGAAGAAACTAAGGCCCAGAGGGAATCACTGATTGCCCAAGGTCCTATAGATAATAAATAGCAGAGTTGGGCTGCAGCTCTTCTGACCCTCAGTCTGGGGTCCTTTGATGACCCAATGCTCTGCAAGTCATTGAACCTCTCCAAACCACAGTTTCCTCATCTATAGAAGGAGTATAAGAACACCAGGCCTGTCCACCTCGTAGAGGTGCTGTGAGGATCACCGTAGTTTAAAATTAAAATTGGAAATTGAAAATGTAGTTTAAAATTCTTAAATATGATAGTTGTGTAAAGTCAGAGATTCTGTTAGAGAGTCATCAAATGGTAAAGCTGGGAGAGAGTTTAGATATATTGTGCAACCCTTTCATTTGACAAATGAGGAAAGAAGCACAAAAAAAGGTATTTATTAGGAGTATTTGTTTTAACTGAAGGTTGTAGAACTGAGTGGTTCATTTGAAAAGAGGTAATAGAATTTAGAGTTAGAAGGGACCCTAAAGCTCCATCCAACCCTCTTATTTTACAGTTAGATGATCCAAAAGGCAGAGGGATGAAGTAAAAAATGCCCAAGGTCAGATAGTAAGGAGTGATGCCAGTATTTGAACCCAGGTCTTTTGACCCCAAATTCCACAGTGGATAGAACTCTGGCCTTGGAGTCAGGAGGACCTGAGTTCAAATCTGGCCTGAAACATTTGACACTTACTAGCTGTGTTTCTCTGGGCAAGTCACTTAACCCCGATTGCCTCAGCAAAAAACCAAAAACATCTCTGGTTCTAGAGCAGGGGTTGTTAACTTTTGACTTGCCCAGGATCACACAGCTAATAAGTGCCAAGTGTCTAGTCTGAGACCGAATTTGAACTCAGGTCCTCCTGACTCCAGGGCTAGTGCTCTATCCATAATGCCATCTAGCTGCCCCTGTAAGTGTTGTTTTAGTGATAGAAGCCACCTGGAATGTGGCTTCAAAGATGACTGAGGGGGGAGATGATGGGAGGCGAGCAGCCTGAGTGTTATTGCAGGAACCAGTGAGGGCCTGAACATGAGTGGTGCGAGGAGAAAAGAGCAGGTATCTGGTGTGTTGTAGGCTGAATACTCTCTCCCTCCTCCCAGTTCCTGTAGCATGAAGTTCTGGTGAAATCAGTGTGTCCTCTTGTTTATATTTGTGTCCTAATCAATCAGTCAATCAGCAAGTGTTACTAGGGACCTCCTGTGCTAGATGGTGGGATATGAAGACAAATGAAGCGCAGGCCCTGCCTTTAAGGAGGCCACATTCTGTCATTCTCAACAACCTTCAAGCTTTCTGAGGGAGAAGGAAGCATTACAGCTTGACTGTACTGACGGATTGGATGTAGAGGAATATATGAGAGGAAGATGTCAGAGACAACAAAGCGTGGTGGTGAAAACAGGGGTGGGAGAGGATTTAGCAGATGGTGAGGGTGGGATTTTATAGAGGCTTGGGGCAGACCTTGTGGTGTAAGAGAGTCTGCAAGGTCTGGGTTCAAATCCTGCCTGTGCTTCTTCCTGCCTTATGTTATTGTAGACAAGTCATATAACCTTCTGGATCTCAGTCAGAGATGAATGAATGACATTAAGCACCAGGTCTGCCTGCTCAATGAAAAGGGTCACATGGGGCTGGGGAAAAAAAGCGAACCTCAGAGGAACCACAAAGCTCAGCTAAATGGCTCGAGATGTGACAATTGGAGAAGCAGGTGGAATCTCGCTAGCATTCTGGTTTGTGAAGGAAGACAGTTATGGGGTCCGGATGGGGAATTATGAGCCCTGCCTATATCTCCTGCAGGTGGCACCGGTGCTGAAGGAGCGGATGGTCAAAGAGGGCTCCATGATGGTGGGCTACCAGCCCCACAGAACCTTGCCCAACTTCTTCCGCCTGATTGTGGGTAACCCAGCCCTGCGCACAGCCGACCTAGACTTCTTCTTGGATGAGCTGGAGCGGTTGGGGCAGGACTTATAACTTGCCGAGGCTGACTAATAAGCTACAGTTCTTATAAATGTCAGGCATTCTTTACATTCTCTTTCTACCTTGTTTGCCCTGAAGTTAATTGGTGATGGTGAGAGGTCGTGGAGGAAGAGAAGGGAATCAATTAGGCAATCAGCAATCATTTATTAAGGGCCTAGTATGTGCCGGACACTGTACTAAGTGCTGGGAATATAAATACAAAAAGGGAAACAATCCCAACTCTGGTGGAGGGCATCTTCATGTGGAGAAGATAGTAATATGTATAAGAATATACAGAATAGACGTATAATGAGAATAAATACAGAGTAGTTAAATGCAAGTTAGATTGGGAGGGAAGGCACTAGTATTTACGGGGATCAGGAAAGGCTTCATGTAGATGTAGATGAGTCTTGAAGGAAGAGGGAGATTCTCGGAGCTGGAGCGAAGGAGGAAATACATTCCAGGCATGAAGGATGGTCAGGGCAAAGGCATAGAGGCAGGAGGTGGAGTGTTGTGTGTGAGGAGCAAAGAGAAAGCCTTTTTGGGCAGATCTCAGAGTGTGGGAACGGGAGCAACGTACAACACGTAGATGGGGGCCAGGCTCTGAGAGGCTTTGAAAAATAAGCAGGTGAGTTTACATTTTATTCAGGAGGCCATCGGGAGCCACTTGGAGTTCCTTTAGTAGGGGAGTGGCTGTCAGATCTGTGCTTAAGCAAGACTACTTTGGCATCTATTTGGAAGGTGGATTGCAGTGGGGAGAGACAAAGTAGGGAGTCCACTTAGGCTTTTGCACTAATCTAGGCAAGGATACGTGTGTGAGTGGAAGGAAGAGGCAGGATACAAGGGATGATGCAGAATGTCAGGATTTGGCAACTGAATGTATTTGTGAGTGGCTGAAGAGTGAGGAACCTTATTGACTTGGGTAACTCTCAGGTTACAAACTTGGGAGACTGGGAGGATTTGGACAGAAATAGGAAAGTTTGTGAGACAGGTGGATTTTGGGGAAAAGATGACGAGTTCTCTTTAGGACATGTTAAGATTGAGATGACTCCAGTATATCCAGGTTCAAATGTCCAATCGTGATATAGGACTGAAGTTCAGGGCAGAGATAAGCAGCATGCATAAATATGTGGGTCATCTGCATAGAGATAAGTACATCAGTGGGGGCTGAGGAGTTTAGCAAGAGAAAGAAGAGAAGATGGCAGGTGTGCCCATATCATATGGGTGACGAGCCAGCAAAGGAGAGTGAGAATTAGCAAGAGAAACAGGAAAGAGAATTGTCACAAAAACCTAGAGAAGAGGGAACATCTAGAACAAGAGAATGGTCTGTAGTGTCACATGCTTCAGAGGGATTGAGAAGGATGAAAGGTGAGAAAAGACCATCAGATTTGGTAAGAGATCATCAGTAACTTTGAAGAGAGCAGTTTGAGTTGGGGTTGAAGAATGACTCTGGAGACAACAAGTATAAGACAGAAGTTTAGCCAAGGAGGGGTGGTGAGATAGAAGGTGATCACCTGAATGTATGATGGGGTCTAGGGAAGATTTTTTTAAGGATGAGGGAGACTTGGATATGTTTGAAGGGAGGGAAGTAGTAGATATGGAAAGGTTAAAGATTAGAAGTGGGGATTGTAATCTGTTGGAGATTATGGGAGGGGGGATGGATCAAAGGCACATATAGAAGGGTTGATCTTAGCAAAGAGAAGGGCCACTTGTTAGACACTAGGGGAAAGGAGGAGAGAGTGGGGAGTGATGTCAAGTGGTTTTGAGATGAAGAGAAGTGGAAATGAGAGAGCTCAGGTAAAATGGCCTTCATTTTCTTAGGAAAGTTGGAAGTTCTCAGCTGAAATGTTGAGAGGAAGGTGATGTATGGAAGGCTTAAGGAAAGGGGAGAAGAATTGGAAGAGCTTCTGTGGGGGGTAAGAGAGAGACTCAGAGAGGAACAGAAGGATTGCTTCGCTGCAGAGAGGACCCAGTTGAGATGGATAACATGAATTTATAACGTAGTCAGTTTTGTTGCACGACCTCCTTTAGCTTTTGTGCAGCAGCTGTTTGTTAAGTAGTAGGGAAGGGTGATAGAGAATGTTAGGGCCTGGAAGGAATAAGGTATGGATTAAAATTATTGGGGCAGGAACTTGGCTGTGTGACTAGGGTTTCCAGCCAAGCTGGGAGCGTTTTTTTCATGAGACTTCTAATTGGTAGAAAGAATATTGTCTGCTGTGTGAGGGGTAGAGTTGGTGCAGAAAGTTTTGAAGAGAGGCATTCTTCACTTTCTTCTTTAAGAGATAACAATCCTGCTTCCACACTTTTCGGGACCAATTCCAGGTGGGAGAAATAGAAATGCTTTCTTGTAGACGTGTAGGGGAAACTGGCTTTTCAACAAGTGCTTCCTTAGAGACTTTGGGGAATTTCCCCTTGAGTTAGGTTGAGGCTATTCACTTGGTTAATCGAGATCTCGCTTTAATCCTGCCTAAAGAACAAGATCACCTATCTAAAGAACTCATTTACTCATGTATTTTCTGATATATTCTAATCTGTAGAACTTCTCCAATCTCTGTCGTCTGTTTATATAAAAGTATTTACTCACTCTTCACTATTTGTGGTGGTCTTTTATGTTAACTAGCATTTGGTGGAAAGGGGCCAAGCTGGTGGGTATAAACTTTGGGTCCCCTTTCCTGTTAAGAGATGACTATCAGGGAAACTGGTGGCTTTTTTATTTTAAAGCAGTCATCCCCATGGACCAGCAATATTTGGGGAGGTCTAATTCTTGGCAGGGCTTTTTAAACTTCTTCCACTTAAGACCCCTTCAGCACTTCTTAAACTGTAGGTCATGACCCCCTATGAGGTACCCCTTCTTTTACAAGAAAGCAGAATGGCCAGCTTCATGGTCCCCTCTCCTGCTCCCCTGAAGACAAGAATAGAAGTCTGCCTTGGAGAGGGGTGGGCAAGATTCCTCAGATATCTATCCACGCCTCCTCTTGAACATCCTGTCTCTATGTTTAGACATCACATGTGGATGTCTTACATAGGCCATGAATATCTTACAGAAGCATATGTGGATCCTAACAAATGGGTGTTCCCATTAAATGAGTGACAAGTGTAATTCTGAGTCTTCTTCCTAAGGAAGTCTGGGAAGCTCAAGATGGGGGGAGGTAGGTCCCAAATCTGCCTCTAAATGCTAAACTGGAAGAGAGGGATTGGATGGTAGAGGCAGAATTTTGATCATCGGAGAAGCCAACCCCTCCCTGCCCCCAACCAAAGACACATGGGTAGACACACAGATTAGAGTTCCTAAGGCAGTCCTGTGACCTGGATTGAGTAAGGAAAGTTCTTTGTAAACTTATAACAGTTCTCAATTAAAATTTTATTAATTATGTTTTATTATTGCCTTTTAGTTTTTGATACCACAGGCATTTCCCTTTAAACATTCCCACTTCCACCTCCTACCTGCCATAGAATCCTCCTTTGTAGCAAAGAAAGATATTTAAGCAAATCCAACCAACACACTGACCATGTCTGACAGTATATGCTGCATCCCACATCCATGGAATCCAGCTTTACTGAGGGGAAGAAGGTGTGTTTTCTTATCACTTTTCCAGGATTGATTCAGTGAACATTTCAAACGGAACAATCAACTATTTACAACCCCAAATTCTCGCCATACAGTATCACATCCACACCTTTTCCTAGATTCTAAGACCGATATGTATATGGGACTCAGTCTTTCTCCCTGATACTCCTTTTAGTTCTCCAAGAAGTCCCATAGCACCCTCAAAGGTCAAATGGTAGGTTTATGTACTTAGCACCGTGCTAGGACCTGCAGAATACAAAAGAAATATGAGACACAATAGAGTTAGAGAAGACATAGCAGAAGGGACCGGCATAGGAAGGTACCATGACATATCAGTATTGTATGGTCATAACAACATGTGAAGTACTAAATGGTGTGATTCACACAGTTATAGAATATGATGAGCAGTACAGGCAAGTACAAAAAAAAGGCTGTAGAATGAAAAAGATAAAGATCAGTGTTATCTGAAGCCGCCAGGGAAGGCAGAAAATTAACCTGGTCCTTGAAGGATGTGTTAAGGTGTGGATGGATATGTAGGGGATTCATAAGATAACAGGATCGTAGATTCAGATCTGGAAAGGACCTTAGAAGCTGTCAAGTTCAACTCTCATTTTACAGATGAGGCAAGGAAAGTACAGAAAGGATAAGTGACTTGCCTAGGGTCACTTGTGTCTGAGGCAAATTTGAGCGCGGGTCTTTATGACTCCATACGCAGTGCCATGTCCAACTCTACCAGGCTGCCCCTTCGTAGGCCAGTGGCCAATCAGGGGAGCTCCCCATCAACTTGATACTAATAGCCCCATAAAGTTTTCAAGGCACATATTACCTCATTTTGTATATTATCTCATTTTATGATCTACAAGGTGGTTAAGCCTTTGGAGTTTTAATTGTATCTTTATATGGAATGTATGGGCGTGCCCCTTGGCACATTGCCGTTATGCTAATTGGTTTGCTGCTGCTATTGTGGGGCAGACTTTAATGGAAAGAGTCCCTGGTTATACTGGCTTATAAAACAACAGATCTTTTGGGGGCTTTTTTCCTCCTTTTCCCTTTTTTCTTTTTTATTAATTTATTTTGATTTATCAACAACCACTTCCATATGCTTTTGAGTTTAAAATTTTTCTCCCCCTTCCACCCGACCAGTCTCCCCAAGATGATGCACAATCTGATATAGGCTATCCATATACCCTTTTGCCTTTTCCAGAAAGATATTAATGACACAGATCAGAGTTAACATCAGAAGCTGGTTCTCCGGAGAGTTTTCTTCCACCCACTTCCATAATCTGCTAATGGCTGCCTTGGGGCAGAAGTATACAAGAAAAAAAAATAGTTTCTGGATCCCAAGTTCTTGGCTTCATCTTCAGAGAGGCAGTGGTGTCACCTTGCTTCCCAAGACATGGGAGGCAGTAAGGGGAACCACTTTGCTAAGTGGTGAGAGTTCTTGAGAGTTGCCTCTAGCAACTTTAAATTCAAGAACCCGAACCCCCAATCTCTTGGATAGTAGAGAGGGAATTTGCTGGGCTGTAAAATCCTGGAATATAGCCTTCAAGTGAAAAGAAGGAGAATTACCTGGGCAGCGTGCCAAGAGGCTCTAGCCCCTTGCTAGAAGTGCTGATTAAGAGACTGAAGTCACAGTATAAGGCAGCAGGGGAACTGGAATTTGTCCTTAGTTAATATCCTGAGTTAATCAGATAGTGTGGATTCCATAGAGAGGAAAATGTATTGATTGTACGTGTATAACCTATATCAGATTGCTTGCTGTCTTGGGGAGGGGGGAGAGGAGGGAGGAAGAAAAATTTGGAATTCAAAATCTTATAAAAAATGAATGTTGAAAACTATCTTTACATGTAATTGGAAAAAATAAAGTACTATTTACAAAAAAAAAAAAAGATGTGGAAGCCTGAGGAGGAAAAAGGAAAATGTTTTCTTCTGAAATCCCCAAATCATTTTCTTTCTAGGGGAGTCTATGCTCTCAGAGTAGTTTTAGAAGGCAGATGCCAATAGAAATCCCTCCTGAAATCTCCCTTGCCTGCCCCTCCTCCCACCCTCTCAAATTTTACTGAAAAAATTTGAGGCCATTCCCCAAGAGCTCTTCCTCCTCCATTCCTCATCTCATGTCACCCAGATGCTTTCTGCTATGGCCTCCTCCATCCCCACCTCACATGATGAGATGGCACTTCTCTTTGCCAAGACAAACCGCTCTATGTGCACAAATTATCCTATTCCATCCATCTCCTGTAGCAGGTTGCTTCTCTGTCACCCCACTCCCTTGTTCTTCTCGCTTATCTTCAATCTCTTCCTGTCTCCCAGCTGCTTCCCCACTGTGTACAAACATGCCCTTGTCTCCCCGCCACACACCTAAAAAAAACCCCTCACTTGATCCATCCATCCTGCCTTCCCTCCCCTGCCCCC